AATGAGAATTTAAAGTAAAATTAAGCAAACTACCTGAAGCGCGGGAAAACGCGGGCAACCAAGTCGCGATTGATTTTAGTTTTGAATCTGATTGGTTCAGAAAGTGGCACGAGTTTTTTTAACCAATCACATAACGAAGGAAAGCAAAACAAAGCAATCCCCGACTACTTTCGACACTCGCTTGAAAATTGCTCAGTCCACAAACCCACCTGAGTAAACGGTACCAACAAAGGTTCACCAGAAACAAGAAGTTTTAATTCACCAAATGGTTCCTTCGCTCCTTCTCTTTTACAAGAAGACGATTTATCATTTGTAGTAGTATCACTACTTAAGTCTGTATCTGTTCTTTTTATATTTTTCCGTTCTGTAGAATTATTTTCAATCTCGTCGTCAGGCTCTTCTTGACTTTCAACAGCTTCAAAAAATTCTTCATCGTCAGAGACACTCGATTGCATTTCTATTCTTTCCGTTGGAGAGTCGGAATTTCTTTTTCGTAAATTGTCTGAACTTGTATCCTCAGTTTTACTAGTTCTCGTCTCAGAGTTTTTTCCAACGTTAGCGCAAAACTGAACACTGGCAGCGCGAATCTTGGAGACTCTTTTCCTCTCGATGCAGCAGTTTAGCATCTGAGAAGAAAAAACGATAACGAGGATTAGATCAAGGACTAATAACAAGACGAATAGATTTCCAGTACTCTAGAAAAATTATAAAGTTTGTTAAGTCAATTTATCTTTGAAACTAATTGAAAAGTCTTCTTTATAGGATTTGCACGTGTACAGAGCTGTGATTGGTAAATAGATACGCAGACAGCTCTCAATTAATCAATCAAACCAATTGTTCGTTTTTCAACCAATCGAGTGCCGTGACTAGCGAAAGGTAACACGCGCATATTTCCCGCCCTCGACATCAGCGTACAGTTTTCCCGCCAATAGCAGTTTACAACCAGTTGCTAGCTTTTTTACACTGATGAGATTTCATTGGTGCCAGGTTCAATAAGTTTAAGATTTACAACTGCTCTTACTATCTCATAAAAATTACGTAAGCTATGATCAAAACAAAATCGTCAGTTGTGACGAGACAAACTCGCTGAGTTGAGACGGCGAGGTGTGATCAGCTTGGTTAAAAAACCGAACCATTTTAAAAAAGCCTACAAAAGCACATTTACAAAAAGGACGACAAATTACGTTGACTTACATTTACAAACAAACTAACAAACCTGTAGCTTTTGATGTATCAGACAGTTTCCAAGATTGGGTGACTGAAGTTTAAGCCTGCATAGTGTTTTGGTATTGAAAGGAAAAAGAGAATTTCTGTAAATTATCAATAAATGGTAACAAAACAACTTAAGTATTCTTTAACAAAAACATGATAGAAAATTTGCAATCCGTTATGAGTAAACTTCCATAATTACCACATTGTCGGGCATTGTGATGCATTTTGCGGGCTAAAGTTTAGATTTTCGGGGGCTAAAATGTATTTCAGCCCGCTCGCAAGCTCACGTGATTGTTCAGACTAATTTGTTGTCATTTTTTTTCCAGTTTTTATATTCTTAATGCCCTCCAAAGTGATAACAATAATATCACACTTTATGTTATTGGTAACAAATATGTTTTGGGTCCCTCCCAGAGAAATTTTATAACGCACGCCCAGCGGCTCGGGCTGAAATGACTCTGAGTCGGGCCCAAAACATATTTATGCCCGCGAGCATTAACTCTTTTGTTTTAACAGCGGTTTTCTACTTTCAAACGTATCAAAAACAAGCGCACGTGATTGGAGAAAGGTTGACATTCCTTACATCAAAGAACAGTTTGCAATGACTGCCGTACCTGGGAATAAATATGTCGTTTTCCCATCTGTATCTCATTTCCAAGACAAACTCTTGCCATAAATGTGCCACAGCTCTTAAACCTTCCCAGAGAACGAAAACAAAGGCAACATGATTGAATTGGCAGACCGTTGACATTTTACATATCTTATTTAAAGTACCTGGAAAGTTTTCTCAACTACGTAAAAAGATCTTGTTTTTGCACGTGCTTGTTGAAACCGCACGTATAAGTCTATAAAACGAGACCTGAGACAGCTGTCCGGCCTAGGGAACAAACTGTTTTACTGAAATGTACTGTAATTAGTCACTTGAAAGGCGGGAAACTAAAAATAAACTAAATAAATACATCAAGGTAACAAAACCTTGCTACATGGTACTTTTTAAAGGTGTTTTGACAAAGATTTCCTTCATAGTTTAGAGCAATGTTCAATTGAGTGTCCAAAATTGTCCGATATTGCTTCAGTTCTATCTTTCTTCGTACTGTGATAGATCCAGAAAACCCGCGCCACTTTTTTAACCAATCAGATTCAAAACTAAAACGAATCACGACTTGAGCAGCCGCGTTTTCC